TATATTGTTTAAAAGTATTTTTTAAATATTTATTTGAGGGCTGGAAATCTGGTTCAGACATTAAGAGGACTGGCTGCTCTTCCAGAGGACCCAGGTTCCATTTCCAGCACCCACAGTGGAGCTCACAACCATCTGCAACTCCAGGTCCAGGGGCTCTGACCCCCTCTCCTGAGGTCCTTGGGCACCAGGCACACACGTGGTGCACAGACATACATGCAGGCAAACCAGTCATGCATCTAAATAAAAATGTTTTCAAAGGCAGATCACAAGATTGGGGACAAGGCAAAGAAAGAGAGACTGACTCCTGGGGAAACTGCCAAAAATTGGCTTTCTGAAAAATATTTATTTGGGAGAGGGCGAATGTGGAGGTCAGAGGACACCCTACAGACATGTGGGTCCGAGGATGGGACTTGGGTTGTCAGACTCGTTGGCAAACGTCCCTGAAGCCGACTCCCCAGCTGCAGAAGTGGATTTGGACCAAAGCTGGGGTGAGACAAGTTTGGAGGAAAGAGGAAGAGAGAACAGGGTGGGTGGAGATGGTGAGCAAAACACCTTCTTCTACCCTGAGAAGCAGGCAGACCGTGTGTGTGTGTGTGTCGGGGGGGGGGTGGGGGGGGGGGGGGGGGGTTGTCACGGCAGGCTTGTGCCACAGTGAGAGGATGGTGAACTAGGTCAATTGGTCAACCTCAGGGGCATCACGCCACAGGACATGTGACGCAGCGTCCCAGGGAGCACTTTCCTGGTTGGGGTGATTGGCCCACCATGACAGGATTCATGTTCACACATCTTATCCCTTCTGAAAACCTCCCAGCCCTCGGGAATTGGTACCGTTTTAATCATCTTTATTACAGATGCAGGCGTAGAGACTCTGTGATGTCACGGGACTTAAGACCACACAGCCAAGACATAGTATGGATGGCATCTGAACTTGGGCATAAGTTTTTGGTTTGTTATAGTGCTGGGGTTAGAATCCAACACCCGACGTGTGGCCGACAAGCGGCCATCTCCCAGATCATCCTCACTCTACACCTCCTTTTAAAGACTTTACCCACTGTGTGTGTTTTGCCTGGATGTGTGGTACCTGGTGCTCTCACAGGCCAGAAAATGGCATCACATCCCCTGGATCTGTTGCTGGTTATAAGCTGCCATGTGGGTGCTGGGATTGAACCCGGGTCCTCTGGAAGAGCAGCTGGTCACTTAGCTGCTGAGCCATCTCTCCAGTGTACGCCCCCCCCCCTTTGAGACAAAGTCTCACTGTGTAGCCCTAGCTAGCCTGGAACTCCCTATGTAGACCAGGATGGCCTCAAATTCTTGCATGCTGTGCACACAGAGGAGCACAGAGGGACAGCTTGTATTGGTTCTTTTCTCCCATCACGTGGGGCCCAGGGACTGAATTCAAGTCCTCAGGCCGAGCAGCAAAAGGGCCTTTACCCGCTGAGCCGTCTTGGCGGTCCTTTTGACTTTACTTATTTGACGAAGGGCCGGGCTACAGAACCCAGCCTGTGACTCAGTCCTACCTCTGCCTCAGTACTAGGACAGCAGAGCACTATCATCTGCTTAAGCTTTTATTTTGTTTTTGAAACGGGGTTTCTCTGTGAAGCCCCCTAGCTGTCCTGGATCTGGCTCTGCAGACCAGGCTGGCCTCGAACTCACAGAGATCACCTGCCTCTGCCTCCCGAGTGCTGGGATCGAAGCCCAGAAGCCCAGTGCCACCACCACCTGGCCGTGTGACTTTTAGCACACAGTGCTGGTGACCTGGGGCTTCTCTGTGAGGTTCTTGTTTTCTATAGGAAACAGATCCAACGCTGAGGACACCCAGGGCCTGAACCTGGGGCTTGTCACCTCCACAACCATGAGGAACCAAAAGCAGGTTCTGTGAAAGGGAAGTAGAGAGTGCAGCAGCTCACGCAGTGCTCTGGGACAGCAGTCCAGGTGGTGGGAGCCACACGAGGTCCCCATCCCCCACTCGATCCTTCCCATTGAGGACGGCTAGGCCAGCAGCAGGGCCGGACAGCCAGGATGTCCCAGATGTTAACCAATCTTTGCTTGCTGGTCCGTGGCTCAGATCCCTGGGGTGGAGACCTGATCCTGGAGAGGCAGCTGGGTGGCATGTGGGGTGGGCAATCTCACTAGAGAGATGGGGGAGACGTTTTCCTAGACATCCCAACTTTGAGACCAGGGCCTCAGCAGTGGCAGCCACTCCATCTCATTACCCACTTCCGAGACCCTCCAGGACACCCTCTAACTCAGGGGGAAGGCATCCATAATCCCTGAGCGTGGACTTCCCTGCCTAGCTCCAGCGACACTGTCATCCTGATCAGTACTGGCGTTACCCCGACAGGAACCACTCTGCTTCCAAGTTCAGTCTGCAGCTATGGTTGAGACAGCCTGTGGAAGTTGTTGCCTTGATGCTGCTTCTTCCAGGAAGCCCTCAGAGATTCTTTTCTTTCTTTTGGCATAGCTGAGAATGAAACTGGAATCTTGTTTGTGCTAAGTAGGGGCTCTACCACTGAGCCACACCCCCAGGTCCTCACTGGGGGGTTCTAGGCAGGGGCTCTGCCACTGAGCCACACCCCAGATCCTCTCACTGGGAGATTCTAGGCAGGGGCTCTACCACTGAGCCACACCCCCAGCCCCTCACTGGGGGATTCTAGGCAGGGGCTCTACCACTGAACCACACCCTAGCCACTCACTGGGGGATTCTAGGCAGTGGCTCCACCACTGAGCCACACCCCAGCCCTCACTGGGGGATTCTAGGCAGGGGCTCTACCCCTGAGCCACACCCCAGCCCCTCACTGGGTAATTCTAGGCAGGGGCTCTACCACTGAGCCACACCCCCAGTCCCTCACTGGGGGATTCTAGGCAGGGGCTCTACCACTGAGCCACATCCAGGCCCCTCACTGGGGGATTCTAGGCAGGGGCTCTACCACTGAACCACACCCCAGCCCCTCACTGGGGGATTCTAGGCAGGGGCTCCACCACTGAGCCACACCCCAGCCCCTCATTGGGGGATTCTAGGCAGGGGCTCTACCACTGAGCCATACCCCAGCCCCTCACTGGGGGATTCTAGGCAGGGGCTCCACCACTGAGCCACACCCCAGCCCTCACTGGGGGATTCTAGGCAGGGGCTCTACCACTGAGCCACACCCCAGCCCTCACTGGGGGATTCTAGGCAAGCCCTCCATTATCCTATTGTTCTGCTTCTCCACCCAAGGGCCAGTGGCCCCTCCCACCCACAGTACCGTCGTGCATATCTTACTCTCTCCCTCTCTGGCCACTCAGGTTCTTCTCTCCCACTTTAATGTCATTTACTGCTGGTCTGTGGCTTCAACTCCAACAACCACACCAAGCACATTCTCCATGGAGTGGACTAATGGTCTCATCACTGTGTGATGCCCTATGGGGAGATGAAGGGGGTCATGGGGCCGTCAGCATCTCCACATCTCCTGTGGCCCAGGAACCTTTCCCGGCGTTCCCCATAGGAGCTGGGACTGCTTCCATCTGGGGGGAGGTGGGAACAGGATGTGAGTCTCCGGGACGCCTCGGGGTCAGCAGGGTATGTTCTCAGGCTCTGAGGCCAGGAGGAACGCTTCTCCATCTGTCAGGGCCAGCTGTGGCTTGGGGACCAAGGGCAGGGGCTGCAGAAGGCCAGCAGCAGGGAGAGGAAAAGCCAGACACCGGAGGCAGTTAACAGAACCATTAAATACAACTTAGAGACAATCTGGGCGCTGGGGCTGGAATACAGAGATGGGCAGCGGTCAGGGTGGGGCGGTGTGGGCCCGGTCCTGGCGGGGGCTCAGGCTGGGGTCATCTGAGCAACTGGAGTGTGGGAAGCCCGGCTGCTTGTGCAGGCCCCGAAGCTTGGCCAGCAGCTCCTGGACGAAGTCCTGAGGACAGAGTGGGGTTCTGAGAACGGAGCAGGAGACAGGCCTCCCACCCCATGCCAGCACCTCATCAGGCACAGCTTTTTCAAGGAGCTGGAGCCAAGCAGGGAGGAGAGGGAGATGAAGGGGGGATGGGGGCAGATAGAGAGATTGTGGGGAGCTGCAATTACTGCCTGGGCCAGTGATGGCATCTGAGGCAGGAGAACTGCTATGAGTTTACATGCTGAGACCCATGGAAAGAGGGCTCAGTGGTTAAGAGTACTTGTTGCTCTTCCAGAGGACCCCAGTTCAGTTCCCAGCACCCACATAGCAGCTCACAACTGTCTGTAACTCAGCTCCAGGGGATCCAACACCCTCTTCTGGTCTCCATGGGCACCAGACATGCATGTGGTGGAATACGGACATACATGAAGGCAAAACACATATACACATAAAACGAAATAAAAATAGAGAGAGATGGAGGGACCACCTAAGACTCAGACCTGAGAGAATTATGGACAGACACAGGCTCAGAGAGAAGATGTTTCTCATGCTAAGAAACAGTCCCCAGAGACCAGGTCTGAGCCAGCTCCAGGCAGACTGACAGGCAGTGACGTCTGTCCCTCAGGCGGCTGAGGGCAGAGGGGAGAACCATGAATATTTTCCCTTTTTAAGCAGGGAAGGAAGTGGGAGGGTTGCATGGCCCAACTCCAGAACCTGCAGGGTGGGAGGCCCCCAAGAGGTAGACAGGGAGCCCCAGGGGACAGAGATGGAGAGAGGGTGAGCCCCCCAGTCAACCAGGACAGCCAGACGGGGCAGGCACCATATGGGCAGAAACAGGAGCCGCTTGGGGGAGGGGCTCTGAGGCAGCTGCCCGTGGAGCGGGTGGCAGATGGGAGGTGGGAGGAGACAACGGCGACAAAGAACAGGACAGAGATGGGCCCCTGGAGTTCCCTAGGCCTGCCTCCACCTCCCCCCTAAAGGTAAGGGGACCAATCCCGGAAGGGCAGAGACTCACCTCCGTGGGGTTCGTGCAGGACTCCAAGAGTCCCTGGGGAGGGGGATGACAAAAAAAAAAAAAAAAAAGCAGTAAGTGACTGACACCTATTCCCTGAGAGGCCCTCCCCTTCCGCAAGGGAGCAAGACAAAAGACTGTCAAAACTGCCCATGTGGCTGCAAACCCGAGCACAGACCCGGGACAGAGGCGGGGCTGAACCACCACATCAGAAGGCCAGAAAGCCAATCCTCCCCCGAGAGGTCAGAGGGGAAGGACATGGCAGCTGGGCAGTCTGGGTTTGGCTCCTAGCTCTAGCCAAGACGAGCTGTGTGACCCTGGACAAATAATCCAACCTCTCTGGGCCTCATTTTCCTTACGGTGGTAAATGTGTCTAGTTTATGGTGTTTTGCAGAGGATTTAATGTCTGGCATAGGAAGTATTTAATAAACATGTCACCTTGGGCTGTTCTGTTTAGGGCCCTGCAAAATGTTGGGCTGGGGCGGGGGGGGGGGGGGGGGGGGGGGGGGGGGGGGGGGAGGGGGGGAGACTTTCTCCTTTCTCCCCACCTACCTGGATTTTCCGGCTTCTCTCGTCTTCACTATCCAATTCCAACAGCTCATCAATGTTGACCTCATCGGGCATGTCCGACTCCTAAGGCCGGGGAGAAGGGGCTGGTCAGAGCCCATGCTCCCCCTGTCCCCCCCCCTCCGCAGCCTTTTGTCCGGGGCTCTGGAGGCACTCCATCACCCCCGGGCCCAGCTGGCTGGGCCCGCAGCAGTAGTGTGGCAGGCAGGGACGGCACCACTGAGGCGGACATCTGGGGGGTGGGGGGTGGGGCGGGGTGACAGATGGATGGAAGGGCCCCGGTACCAGCCTGATGCCTGAACCCTTGGCTCGGCACCGGGGGCCTTGGGACTGGCACGGGGCTCTCTCCTTGGCTGCGGTTCCTACTCGGCCAAGCAGGCCCGGTCGAGTCTTGGAATGTCAGATTCTGGGATTCGGGTTGGCTTCTGCCCTTTCAAGGGAAAGTCTTACTTAGCAATGAGTGTGGGGGAGGGGAGCCTGCTGGGGCGGGCCCCTTCCCCTGGGGACCAGAAGGGCCTCTGGGCTTAGGGCCAGCCAGGCCTCCCTGGGCCACACTGCAGGCTGCTGGGTCAGCGAAGTGACCACCTAGGCTCCGTATGGTGGGCTGGGGACGAAAATGGTCTCCGAGGGAAGGCTAGAGTTCATGGCACTGTGGTACAAAAGGTATCTGGTGATGATGGGGACAAGACCCAGCTGTCCTGGGCCGGATCCCTGGGCCTCCAGTCCTGCTGCCCAGCTGGAGAGCGAAGGTGCTGTCCTGTGTGTGGGGGAGACCTTGAGTGACTATGGGCCTCCCGAAGGTGACCTGAGAGAGTGTATCTAGTGTGGCTGCTGCTCAGGTGTGGCTGTCTCAGCTTGGACATGGTTAGCCGTAGGGACCATCTTTATCTATTTATTTATTGTATTTTTTTTTTAAAGTCAGGGTCTTGGTATCTTTACTGGCCTGGAACTCATTATGTAGCCTAAGGCTGGCCTTGAACTCACAAAGATCCACCTACTTCTTCGTCTAAAAAGGTGTGCACCACCATGCCAGGCGTGTTTTGAATTTTTTGGACAGGGTCTCTCCTTATCCAGGGTTGGCCTTGAACTCCTAACTCTTCACCTCCCAAGTGCTGAGATCACAGGCCTTAGCCGCCATGCCCAGCGTGGTTCCTAAAGGTCTTGATTCCTGAGGCACCATTAGCAGCTCCGGTTGTAACTATAATTTCCACAGATGTGTGTGCCTACAGGGCTGAGACATCTGTCCTGGGGTTTGTAGGCTTCTTATTGTTGACAGCAGATAATGTATGGTCCAAGGTAACCTGATCGCCCGGTGTCCCAGGATAGCTGTTGGAGCTTGGCGCTCTGTACAGCTGTAACTCTCCTCTCTGCGTTGCGGGTGACCGTGTTGTGTGCGTGTTACTGTGTCCAGGTCAGGCCACGCTGCCCCTGAAGTTTGTGTGCGGCTCCCTCCTAGTACTGTGCCTCCCTGAGTGGCTGTGACTTCCGTCATCTGTGAATACTGTTGCTTCCTCCGCCGAGAGTCTCTGCTGTCCTATCTGCCTTCTCAGCCATGTCTATGTTTGGCTTAAGGACATCCCCTCTCCCTATCCGCTCTCTCAATATGTTGGCTCTGGCACCCCAATTCTTTCTCATCTCCCCTACAGGATCACCCCTGGATTTTCCCCGGTGTTTGCACGCACACACGTCTGGGGGACCTGGGTGCATGTCTCTGTGTGTCCACAGGCTGGATGCCCCTAGCACAGAGACCTCAGGGCATGTGTCCTCCTAGCTAAGGTCGCTGCCGGTGCACCAGTGAGCATGTACCAGGGTCACCGAGGTCGCAGGGTCTC